GGAGGACCAGAGCGGCTCGGGCGCACAAAGACGGCCGGACGCGGCGGCGGCGGCGGCGGCGGCGGCGGCAGCAGGAGCGCAGGGGAGCTAGCTAGCCTGTCAGCCTTCTCGGAAACCGCGCCACAGGAACCTAGCAACTCGGACGCGGGGACCCGGGTCGGGCCCCAAGGTACGTGCCCCGCGGAACCCCGCGCCCCAACTTGGCGTGCTTGGGACCTCCTCGCGGCCACTGAGGGGCTGGCAGGGTCAGGGCCTGGGACTGTCTCCACTCGCCCCCTTTTCGCCGAGGCGGCTGGGCGGGCGAGGGGAGAAGCCCCAGCTGCGGGTACCCCCCACCCCCCATTCCTCGTTTTGCGAGAGCCTGGACTGCTGCTAGGAGCCCTGTTACTCTCGCCCTACTGCGGAGCTCTGGGCACCGTCTCTGGGAGTGCGGCTTGAGGACTGAGGGCTCCCCATTTTCGGTGAGGGATACTGAAGCCCCTATCCGAGAGTGGCGGTCAGTGAGGCGCCCGGAGAATAGATGACACAGGTCCTCTGTAGTTTGGTAGCAGCCCCTAATTTGTGACGCAGCCTCTTTATTTGCAACTGAGCCCCCCCTCCCCATTCGTGAGAAGGGTCTCGGTCTGTAGACCGCCCCAGGTGTGCGAGGGTTGACCCTGGCCCTGCTGGGAGATTCCCCGCCCCTACAGCGGGGCCCGGGGGCGGAGGCGCTCAGCCCTCCGCGCCGGGCGAGGGGCTCGCCACCGCCCTGGCGTCCCGGCTCACCGCCCCCGCGTGCCCCTGCCCCGCAGATGCCGGCGATTGCGGTGCTCGCGGCGGCCGCCGCGGCGTGGTGCTTCCTCCAGGTCGAGAGCCGGCACCTGGACGCGCTGGCTGGAGGCGCGGGCCCCAACAACGGCAATTTCCTAGACAATGACCAGTGGCTGAGCACAGTCTCCCAGTATGACCGGGACAAGTACTGGAACCGCTTTCGAGACGTGAGTACGGTCGCCGCCGGGCCCGCAGGGCTGGGGAGCCTTTCAGCGGAGGGCCTCTGAAGCGGGTGGGGAGGGAACAGATGCAGACTTCCCAGGCAGCTTGTCGGCCCGGGGTGCCTGGGCTTCGTCTTGCTTGAGAGGAACTTTAAAGAGAACTTCTAAGGCTTGATGCCTGTTACCTGTGGTCCAGGTGTGTTGTATTTGTAGGACTGGGGGAGGTGACTGCACTAAACATGGTATAAATAGTGAGCAGCTGCGGAAGGAGAGGCTCCCTGAGCTGCTGAGTTCTCCTAACAAGAATGGCTGGCTTTGCCAAGCCCCCTCGAGAACCTCCCTGGGCAGCAGTGATTTAGACCACCCCTAGGGTGTTCCGGAAGAATGCGTGCTGCCAAGGCTAGGTTTGGGGTGAGCCCAGCTTATTGACAAAAGACCCAGGTGTCCCAGGTTTGGAGAGCAGTGGCCATGGGCCTGATAAAATGTTGGATGAGAGCGTGGTGGTTTTGACCCTTGGCGTCTTTAGGGGAAGAGAAAAGGAACAGGCAGCTCATGGAGTTGTTCTGCCCTGAACCAGAGCCTGGGTGGCAGAGGATTGCTCCTCTAAGGGAGCCGTGGGAGGGGAGAAAGTTATTTCTGGGCACCCGGAGGCAATCTGCTGCCTGTTTCTGCCCCAGGCTGGTGCTGCTCTCCAGGTACGCCCCGGAGGATGCCTGCTGGACAAGAGGCACCTGGCGCAGTCTTTCCAGCAGATGGCATCCCCTCTGTGCTGTGGGAGCCACTGCCAGCTCTTTGAAAGGCTGCCCCAGGTGACTGGGGCCCTGCACTTCTAAGGGACTAGGAAATAACTTTTATGATACTTAGAATTAGGAATTCCTGCTCTGAGGAGAGACCCATACCGCAGAGCCCCTGCTCTGGTCACAGGGCTCTTGGAGGTGGGAGGTGTGTGGGAGTGTACTGGATTCCTCTTAGCCATGTGCCCAGTATGCCCAGCCCTTGCACAGAGAGGATCTGAGGAATCCTGTGACTCTAGATATTTTCTAGTATTTTCTAAAGCGCATCTCTCCATGTTCCATTCAAGAGGAGCAGAGGCCATGAGTGGGGGTTTGCTTATCTCTCGTCTCTGTTCTTCCCTCTCCCTTCAGTTGATGGGGGTCTTCTCTTTGAAGGGGGCTTTCAAACTCTTTCAGTGCGCTTCTACAGTCATTTGGGGCCTTCTTACAGCAACTCCCTACACCCGCCACATGATCCCTGCTGCACCTCCCTGTCCCTGACCTGCTCTCTTAACCATCTTGGATACCCTCTCTGTTTGGCTCTGAGGAGCCCTGCCCTGACTACCATTGCCTGTGGCTGAAAAAAATGACCAAACTACCCAAATGATGTTCCAAGGAAGCTTCTGTTCCCAGACTTACATAGGGTAGAAATTATCCTGCTTTTTGTTTCTTTTGCCATTGTGTTTTAGATAGAGTTGAGGAACAGGGCAGATGCTTAACTTGGCTAGAGCTGGGAGAATTGGGGCAGGCTTGGAGGAGAAGGGCATCTTTGCACATGCCTTGGTTTGAGTGGCAGCTGGGTCAAGTGGAAAGCAGCTATGCTTGTTGGTCTTTGGATATGTACCTTCCTGCCTCTTAAAGGTTTTCTAGTATCAGTGTATCATAAACATGACATCATTCTTATTTCCCATTCAGCTTTAAATTTTGAAAAATTGAGCTTTTATTTCTTGCAAATGGTGACATTTTAAATTCTTGAATCAGTGTTTTTCTAAACCTGACTGATCGTGAAGCTCTTACCTGGGGTGCTTGTTAAATTGTAGCACCCAGACACATCCCCACCCCAAGATTCTAATTCCATAGTTGTGGGATGAGTGCTGGAAATACGTATTTAAATGAACGTTCTAGGTAATTCTTAGAATGTTTAGGAAATACCACCTTATAAAAATGTACAAAGTGTAACAAAAAGAGAAGAGCTTCTATATTTAAATGTACTACTTTTTTGTTTCTGGAGCATTTTAAGGTGTTAAACTAATATTTTTAGCAGCATATATCCTTTTAAAACGATAATTTAATCTAGCATACCATTAAAAACATCTAAAAATGTTTAAAATAACCTTAGATGTCTTTAGTTATCAACCATTTTATATGCTTCATAGAGTCTTCTGATGCTAGCTATGGGTTAGATATAATTTAATGCCATTAACCTTTTTAAAGTGTTGTGAAACTCAGACTAGATGCTCTTTCAGGCCAAGTCTGAGTGTCTTCAGCTGGGTCATTTCCTTAGAATAACCACAAAGCCTCAGTCCCGTGGGCCCAGGGACTAAAGGGTTGCTTCCTCTAGAAACCAGCAATTCAGTGGACCGTTGATTAAGCCCCAGCTAATGGTGCAGTTGCTCAGCCTACCTGATCATTTTTGCTGAACCAGGCCTTGCTTGAGGTTGACAAGCCTACCTGCCTTCTTTCAGTTTTGTTGAAGCTACTGATAACTTTGAAAGACTGTGTCCTGAGGTTATTGTTACAATGCTTGTCAGTTTTTGAAAGTCCTCATGGAGGAAAACTTTTTGCCTTTCCCTTGACTTGTCACTTTTTTGGACTTGGGAGAGGGATAGATTGAAGTGACTTTTGAGCTTGTGAAACCAGAAACTAAGGGCTCCTTTAACAGAGCTGATGATACCATTGGTGGGTGTTACCAGGCAAACTTTGAAATGGCAGTGATGGTGGACCGTGTGCTCCACGCTCCCTTATCTGTTGATTGTGTTGTGATATTGCCAGAGATGAGCTGACAGACACTACTTAATGCTTTGAAGCAGTCCTATTGCTCTAGATACACAAATAATCACTGTTTACTTCTTTCCAGAAGTAAAACTCACAACTACTCCCAGGCTTGTTGCCTGGAGTGATGGAGCCGGGAGAAATACAACAGCATTCCAATGTTTGCTCCTAAATGTACTGGTGGTCTGTTACTTTGGTCATTATTCTTTTATAAAGAGTAGCAATTGGGATGTTTTGGCCAGATGGAGACCCAGACTTTTGCACAAATAACAGTATTAAGAAGGAGAAGATGAAGAAGGCAGATGTGTGTATTAGGTTGTACAGTAATTTCCCTGCTCCAGCTGTCACGCCTTTAACTCCTCCTTGGTTTGAGGTTGAGGGGTCAGGATGCCACCACCAGTCTCCTGACTTTTTCTGAATCTGATTTGGCTTTCCATATCCTTTTCTGTAAACTTTTTCTTTCTTCATTCCTGCATTCACTTGTTTGTTCATTCCTTCCAACAAATGTTTGACTGTCTACCATGTGCTTGTAGGCAATAGGCTAGAAGGGTAAGTAAGATAAATAAATGTGATCTCTCCTCTCAGGTGGTCTCTTGTCTACTGAATGAAATTCTTTAAGTTAGGCTGTTCTTATTTCTTTCTTATTGTTTTCTGTTTTTGAAAATAAGTTTTTTTCTTAAAAGATAATACACGTTGGTTGAAATTAAAAAGTGAAAACACTGCAGAAATAGGTGATATCTCATTCATACATTCATCGAACACTTAGTGTGCCAGGTATTGTTTAAGACTCTTTAGATATATTGTCGTTTAATTTTGATAACAGTCCTCGGAGAGACGTACTATTATTCTTACTTACTGAGAGGTTAAAGCCTACAGAAGTGGGCCTTGGAGGAACTGGGCTGGACCCATGCAGTCTGACTCTAGACTCATGCTGTGCACTGCAGCCCATGAGAAGTGGAGTGGATTTTGGCTGTGAGCTTCCGTGGGTATCACACTACAAGTCTTTCCTTCTTTATGTCTTAAGGCCACCAGTAAAGAGCCTTGGGTTGAGACAAAGTGCAGTGGGAATCTACGGAGACACAGCTTATTGTAGGGGTCACATCAGGGCTTCTCTTCTGCTAATAATGAGCTTCTGATTTGATTAGAATAATATTGTTGCTTACACCAAACATGACATTTTCTTTCTTTTCCACTCCCGATACTGGTCCTGACATTTAACTCCAGGATAATACCTTTAGCAGGCTCGAAGAATCAGAAGTGTTGCCTTGGCTGGCATTTATCTTACTCCGGAGTGACCTGAGTTTGTAATTCTAATGAGACCACAAGGACCAGCCCACGTGCTTTTTCCTTCTTGTGCGCGCTCTGTGGGATTTCGTGGTCTCTGTAGCAGAACTGGGGTGGTGGTGAGCATCTGATCTGCTCACTGGATCTTAACGGCTCAGCTATAATGAGTTTCAAGGGCAAGTGAGGCTTTATTGACAGAACCGTGGCTGGCTCAGTGTGTGGGGCTGGTGACAAGAGAGGTGGTATGGCATAGTGGATCAGTCATTAATCTGTCACCACAGAAACTCAGCTTGTAATAGAGAGTAGCAGAAAATCATTTTGATTAAACAGGTTCAAGAAAAATTAAATGAGTTTGTGATCCTGACTCTCTTTAATGAACCCAGTATCTTAAATCCCCTGTACTAGATGACCACTGATAGAATTATTTCATGGGAATTATTATAAACAGAGTGTCTGCAAGTTGATAGGCTTGAGACCATTCTTGTATTCTCCATCCTCACCATCTGCTTGCTTACAGGGAGAACCTAGTTTTGCCTGGCGAGGATGGCTGAGCCGTTGCCCTAGGTGAGCCTCCCGGGCTGAGTCCCCCTCCTCTCCTGGTCCTCTGAACCCTGCCCCCACAGTGCTTCTGCTGACCTGGATAGCTAGGAGGATAAGAGCTCTCCTGTATGCTGATGAGAGTATTTTCAGAAGCAAGAAGTGATCCCAAATGACTCATCGGACTTGTGCTCCTCCCCTGGAAGAGTGGGACGTAATCATTAGCTCAACTCTTTTCTCGTGCTTGGGAAGACACAGTAATGTTAGTAATTAAGTATTTTATAATACATCCTTTCTTACTCACCCACTATAGTGTATTTCAGAGCTAACACACTCAATATCTGAACCTGAACACCTGGATGACTCGTTTTACCTTTCCTTTGGTGAGGTGACTGTTGATGTTCCTTAGGAAATTCCTCA